AGCGAATTATTCACGACATAAACAAAACCGTCAAACATACCTCGACCGACTTAATTTGACTAACAATAGACGGATCGAAACTTGGTAGAACCGACCAAAGACTGCTGACAAACTTCACACACGTCTCTCTGCCAATACTATCATGGCTAAACTGACCAATCACTTTCAACGGACCAGACTCATAACATCATCGACTGACAAAAAATATTCACTTGGCTCTGAAGATGACTTCCGCACAGGTTGTCGAAACGTCAGTCACCAACAATAGTTCTTATCAGAAGTACCCTCACCTGGACGATCACACAAGACGACCTAGATTCTAGTATGCAAGCATATTAGGCTAACTTAGCCGCCACAACGTTTGAAATCTAAGATGGCGGACATTCTAAAACTATGCTGTCATTTACCCGAGGTATGACATCATGATTGACGCATGATTATCACTTATTCATACTATAATTATAAGTGAGCACCCTTTGAAACAATGGGCTGGGGGGACAAAACGCTCCCTCCCCCCCCCCTCCCATCCTAACCAGGTTCAAAACCAAAAGCCAAAGCCCAGGATAAATTGGGTCAATAAGATGAAAATATATTCTCCACATACCGTGTGAGGAAAGAAGGAAATTTTGCCGAAGACAATAAGGCGTTTTCTAAAACATGTAACATTGCAATTTGTTTCAGGTTGTTATATCTGCTATTTTCATTGTTTCTAATTACGTGGGAGGTCCCTGCCTTTTAGTTTGGTCGTTAGCTTGGAATGTCGCTATGTTGGGATTTACTAACAGGTGTCAAAGTTTATCACCATTGTGGGAGGGTCATTACATTCGGCTCGTTACTTTTGGAAATTAACGAAAAATATTTCTCCCTTAGTGAGAGTCTCCCAGGGGGCAGGGGGGCGCGGGGTTGGCATGTTCCATTGATCCCTTAAAAATTTCACTTTTTCTCCCTTGTTCTAAATTCCATTGGTCCCTAATTTTCTCGTCAAAGTTCCCTTTAATAGTAAAGATATCTCTTGTTTCCAAAAATTAATTAACCCCAAAAATATCCCTTGTTCCCTGGGAATAAATTGTCATGTTCCCTTGTTCCCCAAAATCCCTGGGAGGCCATCCTTAGCTTTTATATAGGATATTTAAGAAAGCAATCTCGGTGAAGACTCAGATCAACGCATAACATCATCAAGCTTTCTTCTTTTTCTGAGCTTTAATATGAACTATAGGCTTTACAGTACAGCCAAAAATACTACCAAAATAAAGCAAAAATAGACCCTTCTATGATTTTTAAGAGCATCTGTGACAGCAGGAGGAATGCAGCAAACATTACAGTTTTAACTCGGCT